CTTTGAAGTGTCGCAGACTCATCACAAGCGCCCATAAGAATTGTTGAGCAACATTGAGCAACGCCTCCGGCTGAGGTAATGTTTGAGCTGCTGCTGACGCTGTGGGTTCGGTGTATCCCCTGCCTCAGCGTGTTTCTAAAGCTGTTCTGCCTTTTGAAATGGAGCAGGCTTCTCTTGTAGAGCTCTCCACATTGGTGCCTGCTGATGATGCCGAAGGTGTAACAATTATACTGGTAGTAACCTCCTGGTTACACCAGCCCACAGGGGATTATTTTGTCCGTCGTGTAGGGAGGGGCTGGGTGGGGAGTGTGTGGCTGGGTGGGTGGGGAGGGTGGGGGGTGGGAGGGGTGGGGCTGGGTGGGGAGGGGCTGCTCACCCCGTGATGCCCTTATAAAACTCAACGTTTAACCTACTCACGCCGGCTTGTGCCCGCACTCGCATTCGGGCATATTTGCGGAATACACCACGCCGCCGTTGACCCTGGCCATTGACCGAGCAACCCAACGTTACTAGCAGCTCCCTCCGCAGGAATGTCTTTCAATGAATACAGGATTATGCCTGTGAATGATATTAATTCGTAAGGCTATGCTGCATGCATCAGATTGCACGTGTAAAAATCATGTTTTAAAACAATGCTAATTATATGCAAATTATCTACTAGTGCTATTTTAAGAGTAATGGAGCGAATTCAATCTATACATGTTCTTGCACCAACGGTCTGTCAATGTTGCGGGATCTTTGATGTCGATAAAAGAGGCCTCGACTTGCCATTTGGAAGTTGTGAATGTAAATCCTGATTGGAGTGCAAATCAACCGTTGATTCCTCCAGGTTTGATCACATGAGTACTGAATTGTGTTGGCAGTGGTTGGTTCCGAGGTCACCCCTGGCGTAGAAATGTGGAATTTACACCACCGCCTCATTGTTCTGACCTGAAAATGAACACCATTCCTTGCTTGTTTGGATAACATGAAATGATAACATATACATGGATACGTATATACAAGCATGACCTGTGGTGCCTACAGTGTGAACTACAAATCAGGTTTTGACTTTTTACATAAACTAGAATGTCGGCGGTCTGCGGAGGGCATCTCGGTGTTTTGCGCCTTGCCAAGTCGCCCCCACTGATGTCCTCTTCTTCCCCACCACCCCAATTACGTGCAGATACCACTGAGTCTATTGTATGTAGGGTGTGTAGGTATATATGTCTACAAAACACTTTTTTTTTGGAAGTGGGCGGGGATCCACTTTCTATAACTTATTGATTGAGGCCTTCTCAGAGGCTCTTAGGATTTAGTTGATGGACAAATGGACAAACCTAACACCGGACTTTTATAATAGAAGATATAAAGGTACGACTGAGAAGACAAGATTAAGTTAGCCTTTGATATATTATCCTATACTGTTGTATTATTAAGCTGTGTGATTGTATTTTGCTTTGAATAGCTATTGCATGGACTTGCCGTGTAAAACTGTACATCATCAGAAAACATGCAAGACATTTAAAATCATCTTCATGTAAAGTCACTGGAATGACCAACATTCTTCATTGGCGTAGATCAGCTGTTTTGCCCGCATTTGGAAATACTGTCCTCTGGTTAATTTCTCCAGTGTGCTAGATTGGCAGTTAATTACACAAAATGTTAACATGCTTACAATAATGCGATTTATGTTTGCATTTTTTTCCTTTTCTTTTGAAAGCATTAAGTTACCTGTGGGGTGAAATGTGGCCACTCCCACTTATTTAAATAAAGTATGGCCAGTGTGTGGAGGAGTAGGCCAACTGCCCTCAAGTGAGCAAGATATTACAGAAGGCTGCACGTTTAACCTTTCCGCTATTATGAGCAGACTCCGCTATCAACCCAGCCACAGCTCAGATCAGTGGCCAGTGACGGCTGACCCGGTATTGTGTCCTGATTGACCGACCTTCATTGACCAGTGCGGTGAAGTATGACCCGAGAACAACCATAGTGGGAGACCTTCGTCCACCAGTGGATTGACAAAGGGAGGTGTACATTGTCTCTTGTCACATTGTTAAGCTGAGGATATGGTGGTGTGCAGGAACCTTGTGTGTCTAAGCTGATTAATGTTGCAATACTATGTTTACTGAAAATTATGTATTAATGATGGAATATAATATGTAGAGAATCGTCTACCCCCGCATAACACATATGCATATACAGCATGGATGCAACACCGCACGTCCATAAAATCTAAAACAACAGGAACTGTACACACTTGCGAACCCTTGACATTCCAAAGTCATGATATACAAAAACCACGCTTGTGCCTCCGTAATGTATTTGCTGGCCTGTGTAAACACATCCATTGTGGGCCTGATAGTGCAGTGCTTGCCAGGAGGTGTTCAAAGACACACACACACGCAGCGCTATCACATCAGTCAGCACACTGCCATACGAACCATGCCCCCTATGTTGGACTTTCACTTACAGCTAATAACAGTGACGACTATACTATCAGCAGCAGTGAACTTAACCTTAGATGAGTACCTGGTGTGTGTGTGTAAACTTCGGAATTGGGGAGACAAAGGCGGGCGGGCGTGGCGCTAGCCACAGCACCCACTGGTGCATCGTGCTGGACTATAATGTCCTCGCTGAGATCATTCGCCGCAACAGCCCGTGTGTCGCTTACACGGGGAGATCTTTGTCTTTGACACGCGCGTGGGAGTAGTACGCGCTTCAATGAGTGAATGACTCGGATCCGCGTTTGTGTTCTGATGCCACTCAAGACGAACGCAGTGGCCACCAGCTGATGCCTCATTATTGTTGTTGTGCGTTAGACCGTTCCACCGGAGGAATGAGGAATGGGTGGTTGACGTTGAGGCTTTACGTTTCACCATTGGAACCTCATTTGCCGGCAGAGAAATATGCGAATTGGTTGTTTTACCCTTTTATCTGGCAACAAAACTGACACCTTTTTTACAAGGAGTCATGTTTGCATAGACCACAATACCTGCAGTCGGAATGCAAACAAAAAACATAACTTTGATAATGTATGCACTGTCCTTGAAGTTGATTGGTCCACACCCGAGACAGCTTTCCTTAGAGCCTAGTCTCACATGGTGTTGGACCAGATGACGCCACTGGTCCAACACCAAAGACTAGGCTCTAAGGAAAGCTTCACGTTTCACCAACAACAACAACAAAAACCCAGACGCAATGGACACACATCAACTCTGAACATCACCATTGTAGTTGTTGTTGTTGTTGGCATGGAGTTATCAATCCCATTGGAAGAAGACTGACAGTGTGTACGAATGAACGGACAGTTGTTGTTGGATGTGGAGGATAACAAGCAGGAATACGTCTCTACAAGCACGACCCGTGGCGCCTCCACTGTTACTACGCAGCGTCGCGCAATGCCCAACGCTGCTTAGGCCGTGGAATGTGAAACGTGGTATCTGCAACCAGCACCGCCTGACACCTAACTTTGGAATGTGGACTGTGCAAAGATTAGCATACCTACAAACATTAGCATACTTATACACATGCGCGGCACGAAACTCCCGAGTGTTTTCTACACCCCCCACCTCCCCCCCCCAAAAAAGGAGGGAGCAAAGCAATGAACGCGTATGGCTTCGTAGCTCCATCGCCAGACTACTCTAGAGCACTCGAAAGCCATCCCATTTCGCCGTTCCGTCAACGCGTCCTGGGCGGCTTGAGAAAGGGGGCACACACACACCACACACACCACACACACCACACACACCACACACACCACACACACAACACACACCACACACACCACACACACCACACACACCACACACACCACACACACCACACACACCACACACACCACACACACCACACACACCACACACACCACACACACAACACACACCACACACACCACACACACCACACACACCACACACACCACACACACCACACACACACACACACCCCACACACCACACACACTCACACACACACGTACATGCACACACACCACACACACACACACACCACACACACCACACACACACACCACACACACCACACACACACACACACACCACACAAGCAACACACGCAACACACGCACACACACGCACACACACGCAACACACGCAACACACGCAACACACCGCAACAACACACACCACACACACAACACACACCACACACGCAACACACGCACCACACACACACACCACACACCAACACACACCACACACACCACACACACCACACACAACACACACAACCACACCAACACCACACACCACACACGCACACACGCACACACACGCACACACACACCAACCACGCACACACACACACACCACACACACACACAACACACACCAACACACACCACACACACCACACACGCAACACACACAACACACACACACACCACACACCACACACACCAAACACCACACCACACACACCAACACACACAACACACACACACACACAACCACCACACACCAACACACCACACACACACACACCCACACACAACCACACACAACACACCACACACACACACACACACACACCACACACACCACACAACCACACACAACACACAACACACACAACACACACCACACACACACACACACACACACAACCACACACACAACACACACACACACCACACACACCACACACCAAACACACACCACACACACACACCACACACACACAACACACACCACACACACCACACACACCACACACACCACACACACACACCACACACACACCACACACACCACACAACACACACACAACACACACCACACACACACAACACACACCACACACACACAACACACACCACACACACAACACACACACCACACGCAACACACACACAACACACACACCACACACACACAACACACACCACACGCAACACACACACCACACACACACACCACAACACACACACAACACACACCACACACACCACACACACAACACACACACCACACACACACACACGGATTCCAGGCACTAACCTGGCCACCCATAATCCGGGGACCCCACCCCGCGTGCGCCACAGGTTGAAGGACACCTGCACGCCCCTTTACCTGTAGGGGCGGGGCTACCTTCGGTGTAGTCACGTGCTATTGGTGGGGGGGGGGGGGGGTAGCCAACACCTTGTTGCCGGGGTTACCAGGTGACGTCACAGAGGCAGGAAGAGGCCCCTGTGGGTGTGTGTGGGTGATTCGACTCTCGTCTGCTGTTGTCTACAACGTGGTGTGGGCTGATTCGACTCTGATCTGCTGTTGTCTACAACGTGGTGTGGGTGATTCGACTCTCGTCTGCTGTTGTCTACAACGTGGTGTGGGGTGATTCGACTCTGATCTGCTGTTGTCTACAACGTGGTGTGGGCTGATTCGACTCTGATCTGCTGTTGTCTACAACGTGGTGTGGGCTGATTCGACTCTGATCTGCTGTTGTCTACAACGTGGTGTGGGCTGATTCGACTCTGATCTGCTGTTGTCTACAACGTGCTGTGGGCTGATTCGACTCTGATCTGCTGTTGTCTACAACGTGGTGTGGGGTGATTCGACTCTGATCTGCTGTTGTCTACAACGTGGTGTGGGCTGATTCGACTCTGATCTGCTGTTGTCTACAACGTGGTGTGGGGTGATTCGACTCTGATCTGCTGTTGTCTACAACGTGGTGTGGGCTGATTCGACTCTGATCTGCTGTTGTCTACAACGTGGTGTGGGCTGATTCGACTCTGATCTGCTGTTGTCTACAACGTGGTGTGGGCTGATTCGACTCTGATCTGCTGTTGTCTACAACGTGGTGTGCGGTGATTCGACTCTGATCTGCTGTTGTCTACAACGTGGTGTGGGCTGATTCGACTCTGATCTGCTGTTGTCTACAACGTGGTGTGGGCTGATTCGACTCTGATCTGCTGTTGTCTACAACGTGCTGTGGGCTGATTCGACTCTGATCTGCTGTTGTCTACAACGTGGTGTGGGCTGATTCGACTCTGATCTGCTGTTGTCTACAACGTGGTGTGGGGTGATTCGACTCTGATCTGCTGTTGTCTACAACGTGCTGTGGGCTGATTCGACTCTGATCTGCTGTTGTCTACAACGTGGTGTGGGGTGATTCGACTCTGATCTGCTGTTGTCTACAACGTGGTGTGGGCTGATTCGACTCTGATCTGCTGTTGTCTACAACGTGGTGTGGGCTGATTCGACTCTGATCTGCTGTTGTCTACAACGTGCTGTGGGCTGATTCGACTCTGATCTGCTGTTGTCTACAACGTGCTGTGGGCTGATTCGACTCTGATCTGCTGTTGTCTACAACGTGGTGTGGGCTGATTCGACTCTGATCTGCTGTTGTCTACAACGTGGTGTGGGGGTGATTCGACTCTCGGCAGCTGTTGCCTACAACGAGGGTGTTTCTCGCCCATGCGGCAAGCCTGAGACCTCGTAGACGCGGAGAAAGCGAGGTCGTCAGCTCGTCACCTGGCGTGTGACCACCGGGAACAAAAAAAAATTGTGTGAAAGCTGCGCGCGATCTCTCTCGTGGAGCAAAGATGTCGTGAAGAAGGGGGTGTTGGTGGGGGAGTAGAAACAGCAATTGTCATCTTTTTTTTGTGGGGGGCCACTCCACCCGCTGTTGCGTGACGAGCTGCTGCTGCTGCTGTTGCTGCTGCTTGGACGCAGTTGGCCGCACGAGGGTCGGGCACTTGTGAGGCTGTGACCACAAAGGCAGTCGAGGAGGCCACCCACATCACCAACAAGGCGTTTAAACAAAAAAACCTCCACTCGTCATCGTCGCTGTTTGAATCACAAGATGGCCGTGTGTGCTTTGGCTTGGCTGTAGGTCAACTTATTTCGTTTAACATACAGCTCAGGTTGAACACACGAAAAAAAGTGGAAGTAATCTTGCTCAAAGTAACTTCTGATTTGAACGTTTACCTGCAAGCAGTCCCCCGGACGAGGTGGCCAAAGGGGGGTGTGTCTGCTTCTCTGGATAAGAGTGAAGAAACAAGAAGATTTGCGGCTTGTTCTCTATCGTAATTTGTATTTATATTCGGTACATTAGCCTCTTCATACTCCGAAAGGAGACCATTCAATCGCTAGACTTGCAGCATCAGCAGACTGGCATGGCCAGGTTGCCAATCTCTTCTTGGGCCATATGGCTCTCCGTGTTCCTGCTTGCTCTGATATCCATGGAGGCATTTGCTCAGGACTGCGGTCCTTTATACAGCAATGGTGAGTTGTGTGGTTTCTTTTTAAGTAAATGTGTGTTTATAAAAAAAAATTGTAAGTTAGATGGATTGCTACTTTTATAACGCGTGGTTAAAGATATGGGAATATAACATTTCTGCCACAGTATATAGAAATATGAGACACGCACCGTTTTGGAATTGGATTTTGTGTAAAGGACTCTTGGGAAAATGTGTTAATGAGTCGCATTTAAGAGTCTCTTGTTTTTTCTAACAATACTGTGTGTTTGGGTGCCACAGAGTTAAGTGATATGTGCACGTGGGTAGTTCTACGATTTAAAAATTTACATCTCAAGCACTTTATACAGAGGCCGGTTATAACTATTGGTTTCTGTTGAGCTATCACCTGGTTAGACATGACTAACCTGAACTTACACCTCGTGCTGAATTATCAAAACGTGGCCTCTTTTGTTACCTAGACATTGTGTGTCATCCAGTTAGGATTGTAATGCCATGTAAACAATGATATGCTCTTGTGATGTGAAGTATACGCGCTTGTAAAACAACGTTTGGACAAACTCGGGACGAATTGGCTTTTACATCTACACCGAGAAAGCCATGTGCGTTCAGTTTGGTGTGTTTGTGTCGGAAACCATTGGCACGGGCCACATTTTCATTGGAATTACTTGGTGAGGTCACCCAATTTTATGGAACTGCCCGTGTGTGTTTGTGTGTGTGCCCGTTCTTATCGGTTAGCGATATCCTTTGGAAAGTCGTACGCAGCATAACAACAGTGGAATTTAAATGAATGCTAATATGTAGGTGTTGCTGATCTTTAGGTAAAAAGCAATATTAAATGTGTGCCACGGTGTTTTAGTGCATTGTGCTTCAGAATGTATCAGGAGTGCGACTGTAGATTTGGAGACGGTATTTGCCCCCTTACCTGCTTTATTGTGTTTAGTTTGTTCGTCTTCCCCCCGTAACCTCCGATTAGCACGGTTATCTACGTACGGCGCGAAAGAAGTTCAGCATACATACACGTGTGTCAAATTATGACCTGCGTATGCAAAACCGCCGCCTAAGAGTTACTCGTAACACAAATGCGTGTGCAGCTGAATAAGCATCTCTAACATTGAGGCATTGCATATTATTTGCGGTGTGCTTTCAGCTGAAGGATATACAGTGTTATCAGTAGAGCAGTTACAAATTGTTTCTGCCTACGCATTTTACAGCCTTCTTGGTGCAAGAAGGTATACTTTTTTACCACTTGTGCTGGCAGCAATGGTTACGATGATCGCGAAGGCGTAAGTAATTGTGTGATTAGCGTGTGTAGCTCTGCGCGATAACAAGTCGGGGCTAATACATTTTGATCCGTACAGGCACCTGTCCAGAACATCAATCTGTCGTCAATAACGCCAGCGGAGATCCATGCTGTGTAAGTGGAATGACATTGGAGCGCACGTCTTTTTTTGTTGCATATCGGACAACTACAATCGAAATACTGTAAATGCATACGGATATGATTCAGTGTTGCCATTCCTCAATGGCCAATTGTGTTGATTTGTTTTTAATGATGCTTGTTTATCCAGAAAGCCTCAACGAGTCTCAATACTCTTTTCTTTTTCAGGAGGGACCTAACCAAGGTTGTTGTGTAGTGGTCGATGTTGCTCTGCGTATGATCCCAATTGAGTAATCTGCAGTGTAATTCACTCAGAATTGGGATGTTTTGGCCAATGCCAGTTTTTTTTACTTAGAGATTTTTTTGTTGGTTAGCTATGGGTAGAAACTGGAGAACCCGGTGAAAACCCATGCAGAACAGGGGGAGAATGTACAGACGACGCACAGAAAGCGCCCGAGTCGGGAATCATACGCAATAGTTTCTCGCTGCGAAACGTTCCACCCCACCGCCGACCTCAAATCAGAAATGCAGATTTATTACATGCGGACATTATAGTCTGTATGTGTTTTGTGTGACTGTCTGTGGAGGTCTCTGTGCATGTTTTATGTCGCATGCGAGTGAACTGAATCCTGCTGCTGATAAGAATTCTTAAAAGTGCTCTGGAAGTTGAAACGTTATGGCTGCAAAAAAAAAAAACCACAATGGTCACCAAATGCTTAGTGGCTGTGACGTGTCAAGGGCACTTGACAGGAAAACAAAATAGTGAAGGAATTTGCCAAACACCACACGCAGGACCTTGCTATAAAACAATCTTGAGACTCCACGACACGCAACACAATGCATGTTGATTTATAATTTCAGCGTAAATATCAACTGAAGGTAAATTATCTTCCAGCAGTTTTTTACGGATTTAATTCCTCTCTTAAAACGCCTGCCCGCACTGTGTCAGTCATGCGAGTTGTTTCACCATACTTCACCATGCTGGTCAGTGTGGCTTGATGTAGTTATGATGTAGTATTCTTCCCATGCTATGTTCAAGTCGCATTTATGCCTCGGTGGTGGCAACCCTTTTTTATATTTTACATGACAAATGTGACTCGAGTCTTATCGACGTTGCTTTTTTCCTAGCTGCAGAAGACGCAGAACAGCACTTCAATCGTGGCAATCGTAGTGCCCGTTGTGGTGGGCGGCCTGGCGCTGCTGGTGGCGCTGCCCATTGCCATCTACTGCTTCATTAAAGTGCGGAACAAGCGGAGGGACGAGGGGACCTACAACCCCAACATGCAGGAGAAGTCCAGCGTGACGCAGACAGGCCCGCCGGGAGGCCTGCAGAGGCCACCTGAAGAGCGTCTCATATGACGGCCTTTATTTCGGCTCGGGACAATCTTTTTTCCCCAAAGGCGGAGACTGTTGAGCCCCAGGAAAATCAATTGCGATAAAGAGAGAAACAAATCTGAAATGTCACGGATGAAGATGACCACTGGGACTCAGAATGTACTGTAATGCCTCTTTTCCACTGACACATCCGAGCCGAGCCGGTGCGGGGCCCTTGCGTTACGAATGGTTTTCCACCGGCTATTTGGCGAGCCGAACCAGAACAAAACCGTGATGCGCTGGCACCTCAAGAAGACATTTGAATCTGGCTCGAGGGGGCCAACATAAGCCAGGGCTAGGGTTCATCTTTATTGTCGTAACATCATGTTCGTCGGGCGTCGCGTTAGTTGGCACGGTTGGACCCTTGCGCAATGAACGTGTAATGTCGGCGGTACGGCCCAGGTTCGGCAGGGGGAAAAAAACCTGGCACCTCCTGATCTGTGCCGGGCTTGGCTCGAAATGGCTTGCTTGTACAGTGGAAAAGAGGTATTTTCAGGCGTGGTGAGCACTGAAATAGAACATGTGTCGGCTTTGGACATGAGCACACACCCACTGTTCTACAGCCGAGTCATTTGATTCCTTGGTTTATGCAATAATCTTTTGTCAGCTGACCTGCCAAACTTGACTAACATTACAGTCTGCATGTTGCTCCAACTTGCCTATTATTGAGTATCCTTGATTTGCTTCGGGTGATTTTATAAATGGTTAGGAAGAGGCTGCTGCTGGGCACATTCTGGGAACAAAGTGACTGAAATTCTGCTGTGGGTGCAAGGAAGCTGCTGATCTGGTTATGTGGGTTTGAACTTTTATTTGTCATATTCATGGTATAATTAGCATTTTACTACCATACCACCACCACGCAATTGTAAACAAAAGTCCCCCACTTATTTTCATTGCAGTAATTTCATTCCATCTGCAGTCATGGCCAGTGGCCATATTATACGACTAAATTTAACCCCTTTTTACGTAAATTTGAGCAAACAGGTTTTGCTTCCTAAGTGGGTGATGAATGTATGCGTGCATCACACGGCATTCTCATCCGCTGCCTACAACACACGTTGGCTCGTAACACAATACTCGATGTATTGAATTACACGGCTGCTATGGCGAGCGGCACCATGAAGCTATGCTGGCTTGCGCACGACGTTTCGGAGGCCCGTGCAGAAGGGCTCTCATTGTCACGGCGGGCAATGCGAGATCCGTGTCCTCTTGAGCTGCGACGCGACAGCCGCTAACTCGACGCTTACCAACTTCGCGCGTCTGATGCCCACCAGAGAGAAAAGGTGGCGGTGGTGGGGTTGGGAGCAAAGTCCAGTGGTGCGTTCCTTGTTGCGAGTCTTTCTGCTGTACCAGTGTGTATAATCGTTGCTGCCAGCTAACGCATGTTGAGAGGGCTGAGGGAGGGTTATTCCAGCACTCGGGCGTACGGACGTCACTTGCCCGTGAGCTACGGTGCGTGCTGATGGGTGCCGCGTACCAGGCCGTGTCTGTGCGGGAGCCGCCGTGTCACGGTGTGCAGATCATACACCCACGCTTCCAGCAGCGTTAAGTCAACAGCAGTAAAGAGGTTTTTTTGTATTATTGAAGCCGAGCAAACTGTGTGTGTGTGCTGTAGTGCGTACGATTCCCGGTCTGGTCCACTCCCTAATTATTTCAAAAAACGGTAAATGTTGGAAAAATGTGAATGTTGCAAATATAGTTAGGGTTACAAAGGTGCGGAGTGCTTGTTTTTAAAGTTGCATGCGTTTGCATCAGAGCTGGCCTTTTGAAAGTGGAAGGCTGAACAGCGGGCAGTTGCGCGATTTGATATCCACCCCGTGTGCAAATTGACTGCCTAATTTTATTTTACTTTTTTTAAGTTCGGTGCAATTTTAGCGTATAGGTTTCGCGAGCGAACACAGCAGGCTTGTGACACAGTGGCGTCGATAACAGAAGCTACGGAGAACGAGGGGAAACCTTAATGTCCTTCAGTAATGACGAAGCATTTTAGTTCTCATAAAGTTTTCCGATGTAGAACGAAAGTTAATAACCAATGTCCTTCAAGTCTACTTGGTATGTTATTGCTTTGATCACTTTAATTGTGATGTTATGTCCATGACATGTCTGGTGAAGTTCCACATTTTTACCAGACTTTTTACTATATTAAATATATTTTTGTTATAAATCTAGCTATTTGAATGATAACATGCATAGAATTGCTTGCTACCTATAGTCTGTAATAATTTTAATTGTTATCCGTGTGAGGTTGGAACCACGTCAAGCGTTTGAAAATTTTATGGTTGATCCTTTATAAATAAATGGTAAAACACTGGAAACTGTGCTCCTGTGTAGGTTTCTTTAAGGTTGTGCTGACCAGCTCTCAGATATTTTTTTAGGGCCGGACCGCGCGTTTTGTTTGGCATGATGTCCGACGTTTTGCTCCACGTGCCAAAAGCTTCTGAAGGAACGATTCGGTTATGTTCAGTTCCTGAAGGAGCTCCCAACACATGGGAGTAAAACGTGAGACATGCCAAACAAACATGCGTTCCAACGCGGTAAGACATCAGAGAGCGTCCATTGACCAATGTTAATTGTTGAGTAAACTTAAATGTGTATTTTCAATTTCTTTGAATTCCTGACATTTTTGTATCACCCATTTTTCACTTGAGCTAGTTCAAGCACTACCCATTTGTTTGGGGTAATGGCTGTGGCACTGCAATACACTTTTTCACATTGTTTACATCTTTTTAAAAGCAGATTTCCAGCTTTGCTCATGCAAATGTTGCACGCACATGTGTGTTCAATCCCGTCAAGATGCACGGTCAGACTGTGACCTGTTTGGTGGTGCGTGTTATAAATCCCTTCAACCTGTGACCTGTGTGGATCTGAGAATCTTTCACAGACTGAAAAATCATTAAGGGCTCACGAATATAAGCGCTTTAACTTCGCCTTCATAACATAAACTCAACACATTCAATCAATAACATTTTGCGACAGGTGAAAATAAATATACATATGAAAGGTGACATTTTGAGCAATGGATTTTTATTTATTTTGGTCCAAGTGAAAAGGGGTAATTGCCTGAAATGTCACCTAGCTTAAATAAATATAGGTTAAATGTTGGGTGATGTTCCTTCATCATAGCAATGAATGTCATAGCAATACCTTTCATAACGATGACGTGCATTGCCTCTTAGTGCCAGTGTTATTGCTGAATGAGTTGAGGCTTTTGTTATGTTGTGCTTGTGCACTCCTGCTACAGAAATTTCCCAACGTCTGCATTTTAATGTCGCCTCTGCCTGAATGAAAATGTACGTATGCATGTTGAACTTCTTTTGCGACGTACGTAGCCAACCGTGCTAATTGGAGGTGTGGGGAAAGGACAACAAACTAAACACAAAATATAAAACTATCCGCGTCAATCACCGCCCACTCACCATCACTGGCCATCCTTTCATTCTTTCCTCATTCGGTCGCTCAAGCATTCTAACCGCGTGTTTTTGAAATGCCACGTTCTGGTTCATTCGCGTGTTCCCCTGAACGACGTGCCCCCCTCTAGGCCTCCTGGTGGACATCGTGGTCACGCTCGCCACAGCTGGGCCTGGTCCTGGGCGCGTCGTCCGGCGGTACTGGCGTTGCTCCTCGCCATCGCTGCGGCGACCTGCGTCGTCATGGCCCGCAGCAAGAGGGCGACTCAGGGCGTGTACGAGCCGAGCCGGCAGGAGAAGGAGGGCACCCGCCTCGAGATGTGGAACGTGGTCAAGCCGCCGCCCACCGAAAGGCTGATTTGACCGATGATCGAGCGATGATCGGCCGGGCCCGATGGTGGAAATGTTTCGCACGCTGCTCCTCGGAGCTGCTTCGCTTTAACCCCGTTGCTGTGCCAGTGTTGCCAGATCTGGAAATTAAAGGCTCTGGGATAGTGGACATCTAGATTTGTGTTATGCATAATGATCATCTCGCAGTCAGACAGCCCAGCAACGAGGCTTTGGTTCAATATTAACTTCCAGCTGGTTAAAAACTAAAATGAAAACTGATGTTGACTTGTTGAAAAACCCCGATGTAACCTTTGTAAAAAAAATGGTCATCTTATGTGAAGCCCCAATATCGGCTCCTGTTACTGCCTGTGCCCACAGGCATATGCCTAGAACAGCACATTGTCCGTGGATGGAATGTCGATATTAATATTTGTTACACAAGTCACTCAAATGGCAGAAATATATCCTCATTTTCATTTATCAATAGTGGCATTCGAAACAATGCTCAAGTATCTTAAATACCCACCACCTCTGTCCACAAAGTGGATAATGAAATACACCATTAGCGCCCCGACATCACCACAGGGAAGGAGTATGCCACGATATTAAACTTCCCTAAATGCAACCAGAGGCGAGAGCCTGAAATCTGTAAACACTGCCGATGCTCTGAGAGCTTTAGTGGATTTGTTTCAAGTCTTGCAGTCGGGGTTCGTCAAGGGAGGGACCAGGCAGGGGGTTTGGGCATCGCACTGTCAAGGCCGAGTCTGGTAATGGTTGTGAAAAATATTTATATTCAGTTTTACGCATTTCCGCTTGTAACATATGAAGCAAGAACATACCACTCGTCTTACGCGTGCAGGTATTTACTATATACACACACATTGTACAGGCGTGTGTGTGTTGCTTGCTGCGTAACATTGGTTCACGACTACAAACCTGTAATAATATTAACTGCCCAAGTTGCATCCGAGTGAGACACTTTATTGTGGGTTTATAAATTGAACCGCACAGAGCATTGGCGCGAGTGGTTCGTGCACTGCGCTTTGAAGACGGCAAAACCCGAGTTCGATTCCCGGCCATGGCTAACATCAGTGGCGAGTAACATTTTAACCGCTCAGGGGATTCCCCTTGCTTCACCATTCCCCACTGACCAACGTGGTGAAAACGAAGTGACCACCGGCATAGCGTGAGGAGGCCTTCATCCAGCAGCGGATTAAACAAAAAGCAGCACATTTATTTATTTCATTATAAACTATCAACTCGATGCTATCTTCATCACCGTGGTCTCAAGGTTTGGTTTTGTTGTGTATTTTGTGATGGGTTTATTGTTACCACATCACTAGCATTCCACTGTGGCATTTTTGCAAGAAGAAAGGGGAAGGCATGTCCCCATATTAAACATGAAGCAGAGTTTTATAAGTCTTATTTTAATGCCATTTATTTCATATACTGCACTCAAAAATAATATTTCAAAAAAGAAGGCTAAAATTGCCTATTGCGTAAGTCCATATACAACTCATCCCAAAAAATAAACAATTCGTATAGTTACCCATCACTATCGATGTAGATTTTATCATTGTATGTTCGTATTTGACCATGCTCTGTGTACTTTACTGTATTTTTAGCATGCCTTTGGCTCCATGAGCCTTAAGTATTTTTTAAAAATCTAATTACTTTAATTCGTTAAAACAGTTGACACTGGAAATGGTCGCATTGACGAGTCTGTTGGTGCGATGTGTGGGTCTGTGTTTCCATACCATCCAAAAAAAATCACACGCTGGTGTATCGAATCTTTTGAGTGTTCCATTGTTAATGCATCACAATATGATTGTATTTTCCCCCTATTGTTGCCCTTAAAGTATTCACCTAGTGTTCGCTTGAGTGTTGCTCTATACGTATTGGGGGCCGTCCATACATGACGTCACGCACCTGGGGGGGGGGGGGTGGGATCAGACATTTGTGACGATGTGTGACGAAGGGGGGGGGGGGTAAGAAATGTGACGTCACATCAAAATGCGCAACTTTAAATAAATATAGACAACACGTTCTACTTAATTAAACAGACGTTTTACTAAATGTTTTCTCCTATAACATCGGAGTGCAGTGTCACATCAAATACGCACTACAATGACAATAGTTTAAAGCGATTTGAAGCATGTTAACAAAAAATTGGGGAGGGGGGGGGGCAGAGCTTTGTGACGTCATATTTGAGGGGGGAGGGGGTCTGACTTTTTGTGACGCCGTGTGACGAGGGGGGGGGGGGGTCAAAAATCGTCCAAAATCGCTGTGACGTCATTTATGGACGGCCCCTTAGATGTCGGGATGTTTTTTGTTATTGTAATTTTTAAGCTTGTATGAAATGTCATAACTTATTGGCGTCTGGCCCAAAAACAAGACACAGCTCAGATGGAGTATATTTTAGCCGCAAGTTTCAGTAATGTTTTTTTTTTAACCTGTCTTATTTTAAACCTGGGAGTTTACATGTTTGTAAAGAAAAAATAGTAGTGCTCTACGGTTTTTTTTAGTTACATACACTGTTTGGTGTAATGGTGAGCACAATTCACCATGAACCCGGCCACCTGAATTCGATTTCCTGACCACGGCTAACAGCGGCTTGTGACATGTGGACAGGAACTTGGCCTCTGTTCTTCACCAACATGCACTGACCACACTGTTGAAGTCTAGTTCTCAAGGCTTCCGATAACTGATCCATCATGGCACGACCTTAATCCAAAGGTGGATTACAAAGGGCTAGACAATTGGTGTTCGTCGCGTGGTTAGACTTGCGACTCATGTGTGCAGGAATTATTGTGTCTTGCGTGATGACCGAGGGTTAAATGTGTACAACGCACATCTTAATCTGCTGAAGAAAAAAAACATGAAAGAATGTACGTACTGTATGTTTTCTTTTTTTTATATTTGACTTTGGGGAAACTTACTGTCGGAGTCTAGTAACAACTACTCTGGACAGCAATGGGTTTTGTACCACAACTACTGCATTTACCGACTCCGATTACATGCGTTTATTACCACGATACGACTATGATAAATGCAAGTTGTTTAGCCAATGAAGCTTCGCTCAGCCGAAAGACGCTTTGTCAGGAGGGCCCTTCATTGGCATGTTTGACAAATTCACTAAGGACGAAACCGGAGCAATCCGGAGGAAAAGAAATCCGACGCATATAAAGGGTTGATGTGCAAAGCTCTGCACGGACGGATTCAAGGATCCGTTGTTGCACTGCAATCTTCTGGCCGCTGTGCAGCGCAAAACTACTGAAGTATATTTGTTGCCTGTTACACAGCACAGTGCTTTGTTGACATTTTATATGCTGTATGTACATAAACTAGGGCGCACGTTTTTGTTTTTGTAAAAAGGGGTTAAAGAAACGTAGTTGATGACAGACAGTATTTGAATTGGGACAATCCGGCACGTGGTCTGTTTTCATGTGTGATGTGAAATGTGTCTTACAATTGCAATGCTGAAAAATTGTAACGTTATTATTAGTAAGTTGGCAATAAAAGTTGTCATTGCTATTGTCGATGCTGTACAAGTATCAGCAGGTGCGAGAGCGTCCGCGTCCCCCGTGTTGACGGCAGTTGCGTTGTGCACAGGCGCTCGTTGAGGATACTCGCTCACAGGCGTGTCCGCTGCGCTGGCGTGCCTCGCTGTCCGCTGCGTTGGCCGTGGTGTGCGTCCTGGTGGCTCACCACGTGCGGTGGCGAGCCGCCAGTACAGCTGTGTCACTCACAGAGGGCGCTCGAGCCGGGGGGCCCGACCAATCGGTCGGCGGGGGGCCCGGAGGGAGCCGAAGGGGTGGAAGTCGGTCCCCAGACTCTCGCAGTGCGGCACTTTGTGCAGTGGTGATTTATCATGGGCAAAACGCGATATTGTTGCACTATAACACTGTGCATTTAATTTGTTTTTGGCTATTGAAGCTATCGCTTAACCATTGATATTACTGCCAGCTATATGCCAACATTTTAATCGTATTATTCGTTTTAACTTTGACTTAGTTTACAGCCGGTAATCACACTTAAAAAAAAAGAAATTACATAACCAAGGTAAATAACAACAGTGGTGGTATTGGCCATGGGTGGAAGTAAAACAGTAAAGACAAGAAATTGAAATCGCCAGAGAGGGCTATGAACTACTATTTATTTTACCAGGTAAGGCCAACTGAGCAATATAGATATTTTTTTCGGAAGTGAGCTGGCTATCACCAAATAGCTCAAATGAAGCGTTTCTAATTGTGGAGGGGGGGAAACCGAAGGGACCCAGAGAAAAATCCACGCGACCGCAGGGAGAGAGGCATGCGAACTCCAAATATACAGCAGACGTCAGGGTCGGGATCCTGTCTGCCAGGTGCGGTAGTTCAATCTCGCCACAGTGGCGCCCTATACCAACCTCGGGCTCCCATCTATTCTAATCCAGTGCCAGTTGAGATAATCAGAATACAGTATTAGGAGTTAACGTCTATGGATGGTGGTTAACTTAGCCCATTATCACCTCAGGAAACTGAAATAAGCACTGCCTTGGCACCGCCACAGGAATGTGGAACTTCCACCACTGGCTTAGGGCTGCAAGTAGACGATGAGAAATCACTTCACTCATACTATAATTGTGGTGAGCTGTGTGTGGTGAGCTGTGTGTGGTGAGCTGTGTGTGGTGAGCTGTGGAGTGTGGTGAGCTGTATGTGGTGAGCTGTGGAGTGTGGTGAGCTGTATGTGGTGAGCTGTGGAGTGTGGTGAGCTGTGGAGTGTGGTGAGCTGTATGTGGTGAGCTGTGGAGTGTGGTGAGCTGTGTGTGGTAAGCTGTGGAGTGTGGTGAGCTGTATGTGGTGAGCTGTGGAGTGTGGTGAGCTGTATGTGGTGAGCTGTGGAGTGTGGTGAGCTGTATGTGGTGAGCTGTGGAGTGTGGTGAGTTGAGTGTGGTGAGTTGTGTGGTGAGCTGTGGAGTGTGGTGAGCTGAGTGTGGTGAGTTGTTGTGAGCTTTGGAGTGTGGTGAGCTGTGGAGTCTGGTGAGATGTGGAGTGTGGTATCTGTGCCTCTGTATCGCTCTGTATCTGTAACGCGTAGTATATCTGTCTGCGTGTATCTGCACAGACCAATTGCTCGTGGTTGCCAGGGCTCCTCTTTACTGATAGTCCAACTTCGAGGGCGCCTGATTGAATATTTCTGCAGTCGTGTCCAGGTTATGGCGGACTTGAAATTCACAATTCATGCGATGACCGTGGTCTTTGTGACAAACCCATAGCCTTAATTAGGAGTATTATTTTTGAAATATTGTAAACCATAGGATTTTAACACAGGTGTGTAAATAAAGTAGTGAACAACCAAGAAGCAAATATCACAAGTGATTTTATTTGGAAATAAATATTTATTGTAGTCGATATTTTTTTTACATGTTTTTGTTTTTTTCCCCCAGTTTTATCTCGATTTCGCTATTGCCACCGAATCCAGCTTGGCAGGCTGGGAAGACCCCAACGGCTCGTTGTCTTTGCTGAACCACCGCCGTCTTGGGCACCTCTTCTTCCGGTCATCACTCTGCCAACGAAGTCTTGAATCTTGCGGGGCCTCCCAGCGTCCTCCTTGCTGACGAGAAACGTGCGGATAACCATCACCTGGGTTTGCACACGGGACAACATCGCGTTCTTTCAGTGCTGCAATCATACAGAGTTAAGCACAAACGTGTGTATATTTCTACTACAGAAATGTGATCAGAATCATCGTCAGCTTCACAATGCCAACTGTAACAATAGGCTCACGTGAATCCAGAACCATTTAGGGATAGGGGAGAATTCCAGGGATGGAATGGACAGATCCTGTACACAGCTCAATTTGACAATCCAACCCAAAATTTCTACGCATGGCATCTGATTAGCATTTTTCAGTTTCAGATCACGATAATCGAACTTGTATCTTCAAGTACGTGCTACATCTAATGTACGATGCAGGAATTTACAATGCAAAACCCAGTAAACCAAATTTGTTTCAATCTTGATTTTAAGCTTTAGTTCTTTCGGTAAAGTCACGTAGGTAGAAAAATAATAGATCACGACGTTTTGATCGCAACACAAGCAATCGTCATCAGGTGGGACAACCAGTTTTTTCTTTCTGTGGTTGTCCCAGCTGACGACGATTGCTTGTTGTTGCGGTCGAAACGTCGTGATCTATTATGTGTCTACCTATGTGACTTTACCGAAAGAACCAAAGACTTTCATACATGTTTCCCCGTGATCGCTTCTCACTGGGATTCATCGGTGGATCGCGAGCAACGAGCGTTGTGCTGTTGGATGCACAGAAGGTGATGTCGGGTGGCTCTGTGCGCCCCCCCAGTGTTGTGACTCACCCCACGCGGGTTCCGTCTTTGGAAATAGCGGACCTTGGAATTGTAGACAAACGCCTTCCGCACCAATTTCGTGCTCACGCTGCCACCACGCAGCTTCTGTTCTCAGAGCAACAGCCAAGACGCACAATAAGACGCGCACACACGCACTCCCGTTAGCGATGTGGAATCACTGGCATGCAAAACACTCCTCACTTATTATGTTTACAAATTAAGTTCAGAAACATTACTCGACGTACAGGTATGAACATTACTTATGCTTGCTCGTTGAATCCGAATTGCTTGTATTCTAAAATGCAAGAGGTGTTTCTTGAATAATTACGCAACACTCCTTTGAGCAACACTTTACAACAACAAAAATCCCCTGGACACTTCTGAATCACGCCGTGCTGCACGTCTGACCATGATCTCAAACAAACGGAGATTCCGGCAAGCGCTCTGTCCGTCCGTCTGTCTGAACCCGATCTAATGACCAGCCAGGTGAAGTATGGCCAAAGCTCCCCACCCTCCTCGTCCGCCCCCCCCCCATCACCCTCCGCGGGCAGAGGGACACAAGGACTAAGACACGATTTGTCCCGTGGCCTCATCTGCTGCTCCCTTGCTGATGCGCCTATCCGATGCCATGCCAGCATCAACCGCATAGAGACCTCAATTAGGTCTCGCCCATTCTCCTGCAGGCTCCGTGGCTGTTTTCCGCTATAACTTGCTGACCAACCCATACTGGACGTCTGTGAAAGACTAAAAAGAGCTTCATAGCTCATCGGATTCCTCGAGTCTCAAGAGAGATTCTGATGCTGTTTAGGTCCCCCGCACCTGCCCACAAAACGGGGTTGGGTTGGTTCGGATGGTGGTGGTTGGGGTTGTAGAGGGGGAGTGTGCAGGGGGGGTAGCGGAGGGAGTAGTTGGGGGGTAGTGGGGGGGGGGCGGAGAGGGTAGTGGGGGGGTAGCGGAGGGGGTAGTGGGGGGGGTAGTGGGGGGGACTAGCGGGGGAGGGCGGCCTCAAAACGACAAAAGTGCCCTCTGGGATCAATCTATTGTATTGAAATTGATACGAACTTCTATTAAAGTCGACCGCTACCCCACGCTAAACTGGCTGATGTAAAGCGACAGTGCGATGGACCAGTGAACGTACCTTGCGTGCCCGAATCCAGGCGATCGCTTGCATTGCGCTGAAGCCGTAGCTGAGTGCGGAGATGACGGTCGACAAGAGGCCACGTCGGCGCTGCTCTGCTTGCTTCAGCGGTGGTTGAATGTCGCACGGCCTCTGCTCGGCGGGGACGATTTCTCTCTCGTCGCTATCCGGTATCGATTTGCTCGGAAAATCGGTCGAAGCAAAGTCGGCATATGCCGTGGGGGCATTGCCACCCAGGTCATCGGGATATCCAATAGGAGCAGCATTGCCACCACAGTCATCGGGATTTCCAATAGGAGCAGCATTGCCACCCAGGTCATCGAGATATCCAATAGGAGCAGCATTGCCACCCAGGTCATCGGGACATCCAATAGGCGCAGCATTGCCACCCAGGTCATCGGTATATCCAATAGGGGCAGCATTGCCACCAAGGTTATCGAGATATCCAATCAGGGAATTAACCCCCAGGTGATCGCTCACCTTTAGTATGGAGGGTGGCAGCCAGATGGCCGGCTCCATCACCCCTTGCCAAGTGACAAATCCGACTAAAGACGCCACCGTGAGCATCATTTGGTACGGGTTGCACCTGGACACATCCATGTTTGCCGTTCGATCGCAATCACAACCAACAGCAGAGCGAGTGCACTGCTGCTGCTGCTTCTCGTCGGACTCGACTGTGGCCCACGTGCTGGACCACGTGGGGTGGTCACGTGGGCCAGGGGTTTGTTACGACAGTCCACGGTTGGAACCCAACGGGCCGCCCCGATTACTACTGTGGGGCCGAGTAGACATGGCAACAGGCAGCCGTCCACTTCACTGGCGAGTGTCTGTTACAGACCCTGTGACGTAGTTCGCAAGGGGCGGGCCAATGCGTGCCGGACTGAGGATCCACATTTGGCAAATTCGAAACTCGATTGGGATTATAGACGGCGGGCGTTGCCCCATAGGTGGCAGACTAATGCCCCATTGATTTGAAGCTTTCGTGACTGCAGAAATCCATACTCTTTGGTTCTTTCGGTAAAGTCACGTAGGTAGAAAAAATAATAATAGATCACGACGTTTCGATCGCAACACAAGCGGTCATCCACAGGAGCAAAACATTATCCAGCAGTTGAACTGCTGAACCAGCGAGAAAGCTGTTACAACTAGGTTGCTACAACAAGGTTGTAACAGCTCTCACAGCTCTCAAGATCATCCTCGTATTATGTGTGTAACCCTTCCGTTGTCGTTACCTTTGTCACTAATGACCGTGCACGGAGAATGAATGCGCAACAATGATGGCAAGTGAACAACGTTAATACGCATTCACAAAGAGAATGGGACACTTTTTCAATAAAGATGGAATACCGTACACATCTTGGGATGACGTTGTCGTGGTGAATTCGTTCCCGCATTCGACTGCCAATGCGGTAGTTGCCAGTTCGATCTCGCGGAGCGGCAGTTAATCATCCCAGATTTGAAGCATTCGTGACTGCAATGATTCATATTCTTAGGTTTTTTCCGTTAAAGTCACGTAGGTAAAAAACATTAAAAAGTAAAATAAAATAAAAAATCACGACGTTTCGGAGGCAACACAAGCTTCCGTCTTCAGGTGGTACCTTCACAGCCACGACAGCTGTATTAATATGGTATATTAATAATAATTATGCGGCTCTTGCCCCACCACCTTCTCCAACCATTATATAAACGGAGTGGTAGCTCCTGCAATCTCTCATTTACTTGATACAGCTGTCGTGGCTGTGACGGTACCACCTGAAGACGGAAGCTTGTGTTGCCTCCGAAACGTCGTGATTTTTATTTTGTTTTTCTTTTTAATGTTTTTTACCTACGTGACTTTAACGGAAAAAACCTAAGAATAGTTAATCACCGCCCCCTACCTGCCTCTGTCCACCCCACAAGTTTGAATGGTTAACGCCACTGAGTGAACGGGTAGGTCCTGTCTGCTGGGGTACAATGTGGAGGAGACTCCAACACGTGCCGTCAGCGTGAACGGGTAGGGCCACGTAGCTTGACGTTGCGGAAGCAACAAAACTCTGCCCCCCCCCCCCCAAAAAAATAAAACATGCTTCAAATCGCTTTCAACTATTGTCATTGTAGTGCGTATTTAATGTGGCGCTGCACTCTGTTGTTGTAGGAGAAAACATTTGTTAAAAAGTCTATTTAATTAAGTAAAACGTGTTGTCTATATTTATTTAAAGTTGCTCATTTTGATGTGACGTCAGATTTCTCAACCCCCCCTCCCCCCCTCGTCACACATCGTCACAAATGTCTGACCCCCTCCCCCTCTAGTTGCGTGACGTCATTTATGGACGGTCCCTTAGGGTTAGGAATTAGGATAGGCTAGGGTTAGAGTAGGGTGATTGATCCACGTGGACTCTGCCCTCCACTTGCTTGCCATATGCGCCCTCTGCTGACGCTTTTCTCCATCGCAAAAGCTGTGCAACAATATAAGGTGACATTCTTTGCGTCTTTCGGTAAAATCATGTAGATAGGTTCAACGAAAATAACAAAAAATAACAACAAACTACAACGTTTCGATCGCAACACAAACATGATGACGAACGCTTGTGTTGCGATCGAAACGTCGTAGTTTGTTGTTATTTGTTATTTTATTGAACCTATCTACGTGACTTTACCGAAAGACCCAAAGAATATGAATTCCTGCAGTCACGAAAGCTTTAAGTCAACAATAAAAGGTAATTTAAACAAACTTTGTATTTTACCGGGTAAGGCCCACTGAGCTGTGTTTCTCAGAAGCGACCTGTCACACATGATAGTTCAAGGAAGTGGCTTATCACGTGGACATTTGTAGCAGCTAAATTATCTAAACGAATGTTTATAAATCATGTTAAGAACACTGAATTACATTGGAAGCCCAGTGGTGATGATGGCCATGCTTAGAATGGCACTAGGTGCGAAATAAGTTCAACATTCATACGTAGCACTGTCCCGTGCTGTCAACCCATATCGTAGTCCCCGCTCGCCGATTTAACCGTGCAGTCATGCATGGTGATGAGTCTATGATGACAGCAGTATCCAGGCTCAAACCTGCTGAGCTTCCGATATCAGACACATTCCGGGTTGATTTTCTCCAAAACCAGATAACCATAATCACCACCATCCTCTCTTTCCCACCAAGTTCCTAAACACGGTGACACCTTTCTCAACTCGGGACACGTACTGCACGTGCAGGTGTCACGCAAGCTCGTGCCCATTCTACAAACACGATGTTTGTTGCTTTCCGCTCTGGGGCCTCCTTGCTGCGTGTGCCACACCGAGACCGCGCGGTCTTTTAAATCGTCAACGTCAAGTCGGTGATGAACGTAAATCCGTGCGAATTGTCCACGCTGCTGATACACACACACAAGATAAAGATCCCCCGTGTAGCCTTAACAGTGGAGTGTGGTGAGCTGAGTGTGGTGAGTGGTGAGCTGAGTGGTGAGCTGAGTGTGGTGAGTGGTGAGCTGAGTGGTGACCTGAGTGGTGAGCTGAGTGTGGTTAGTAGTGAGCTGAGTGTGGTGAGTGGTGAGCTGAGTGGTGAGCTGAGTGTGGTTAGTGGTGAGCTGAGTGGTGAGCTGAGTGTGGTTAGTGGTGAGCTGTGGTGAGCTGAGTGGTGAGCTGAGTGGTGAGCTGTGGTGAGCTGAGTGTGGTTAGTGGTGAGCTGTGGAGTGTGGTGAGCTGAGTGGTGAGTTGAGTGGTGAGCTGAGTGGTGAGCTGAGTGTGGTGAGTGGTGAGCTGAGTGTGGTGAGTTGAGTGGTGATCTGAGTGGTGATCTGTGTGGTGATCTGATTGGTGAGCTGAGTGGTGAGCTGAGTGTGGTGAGTGGTGAGCTGAGTGGTGAGCTGAGTGTGGTGAGTGGTGAGTTTAGTGGTGAGTTGAGTGGTGAGCTGAGTGGTTATCTGAGTGGTGAGCTGAGTGGTGAGCTGAGTGGTGAGTGGTGAGCTGAGTGGTGAGGCTGAGTGTGGCGAGTGGTGAGCTGAGTGGTGAGCTGAGTGTGTTGAGTGGTGAGCTGAGTGTGGTGAGCTGAGTGGTGAGCTGAGTGTGGTGAGCTGAGTGGTGAGCTGAGTGGTAAGTGTGGTGAGCTGAGTGGTGAGTTGAGTGGTGAGTTGAGTGGGGAGGCTGAGTGTGGTGAGGGGTGGGCTGAGTGGTGAGCTGAGTGGTGAGCTGAGTGGTGAGTTGAGTGGTGAGCTGAGTGTGGTGAGCTGAGTGGTGAGCTGAGTGGTGAGTGTGGGGAGCTGAGTGGTGAGTTGAGTGGTGAGTTGAGTGGTGAGGCTGAGTGTGGTGAGGGGTGGGCTGAGTGGTGAGCTGAGTGGTGAGCTGAGTGGTGAGCTGAGTGTGGTGAGCTGAGTGGTGAGCTGAGTGGTGAGTTGAGTGGTGAGTGGTGAGCTGAGTGGTGAGTTGAGTGGTGAGCGGTGAGCTGAGTGGTGAGGCTGAGTGTGGTGAGCTGAGTGGTGAGTGGTGAGCTGAGTGGTGAGCTGAGTGGTGAGTGGTGAGCTGAGTGGTGAGCTGAGTGGTGAGTGGTGGGCTGAGTGGTGAGCTGAGTGGTGAGTGGTGAGCTGAGTGGTGAGCTGAGTGGTGAGCTGAGTGGTGAGTGGTGGGCTGAGTGGTGAGGCTGCTCGAGGCCCCCTGTAAGGAGCGGGGAGGGTGCCCCGCGTCTCGTCGCCACGGCAACCGGCGCTGTCGCGCGCAGCCAAACAACGCGCCCGCAGCCTCCACTCACTCTCAGCCGCAGACTCAGAAAGTTCACATCTTGGTGATTTTAATTGACCATTATTATTAGTAGTATCGTCGTCGTCGTCAATCAATCAATCGAAGTGAATCCGAGGCATCGTTATCGCGATCGAAAGAGTTTTCACAGCAGCAGCAGCAGGAGGAGGAGGAGGAGGGTGGTGATCGAGCGGGTCTGAATCCTCTGGTGAGTAAAACGTTTCCCAGATGCACAGCTGTGATGGTGGTGGGCGACGAGACGACGAAGACGCCGTCACCGTCGTCGTCGTCGTCGTCCTCACGCTGTCGACGACTCTTTGTGACTTTCGGTGGCGTCGCGACGCGGTGCGCGGACTGTGTGGGGAGCGGTGGTGCAGCGGTTAGCGCGCTGCGCTACGAACCCAGAGTTCCATTCCCGATCATGGCTCAACACCGGTCACGATTATCTGAACCGGTCCCTGGGCCTCGCATAGGTCGACTCGGCCTCAAATGAGTACCTGGTGTGGTGCGTAGTAAACATCGCTACTGGGGAGACAAAGGCGGCCGGGCGTGGTGATGGCAAGCCCCACCCCCTCGTGTGCCGTGCCAGGCCTTAATAGGTGCTGCTCGCTAACAGCACTTGCCCCTACAGTTGTTAAGGCTACACGGGGGATCTTTGTCTTGTGTGTGTGTGTATCAGCAGCGTGGACAATTCGCACGGATTTACGTTCATCACCGACTTGACGTTGACGATTTAAAAGACCGCGCGGTGTCAGTGAGCGCAGTGTGGCACACGCAGCAAGGAGGAGGCCCCAGAGCGGCAAGCAACAAACATCGTGTTTGTAGAATGGGCATGAGCTTGCGTGACACCTGCACGTGCAGTACGTGTCCCGAGTTGAGAAAGGTGTCACCGTGTTTAGGAACTTGGAGGAAAAGAGATGATGGTGGTGATCATGGTTATCTGGTTTTGGAGAAAATCAACCCGGAATGTGTCTGATATCGGAAGCTCAGCAGGTTTTGAGCCTGGATACTGCTGGCATCATAGACTCATCACCATGCATGACTGCACGGTTAAATCGGCGAGCGGGGACTACGATATGGTTTGACAGCACGGGACAGTCCTACGTATGAATGTTGAGCTTCTTTCGAATCTAATGCCATCCTAAGCATGGCCATCATCACCGTTACTTTTGTTATTTCTGTGTTCTTACCACGTGCCTGGAGGGAGTGGCGATGCAGCTGTTAGTGGGACCACTGCCTTGTGGACTACCTGAGTTCGAGTGGCCGGTCCAGACGTGGCTGATAACAAACGTCAGTGGGAAGCGAGATCTGAATCGTTCCATGCGCCTCTGCCAACACCAAGTCCGCACTTACTAACGTGGTGAAGTATGGTCAAATACCCCCCCCCCCCCCCACCCGCACGGCGTGGAGAGGAGACCATCCATCCAGCCAGTGGATTAGCAAAACGTAACCGTACATGTACATTGGGTCTTATATGGACATTTCCAGGGCTTAATCTGTCATGACATTATCCTGGCACCCACCCACACCCCCACAAATCCCCAGACACCTGCCCCCTACCTCTGACAGGGGTTGAATATTTTTTTCTCGGAGCTTAGCCTGGACAGCTCCATCTGATTCTAGATTTGAAGCTTTCGTGACTGCAATGATTCATATTCTTAGGTTTTTTTCGGTAAAGTCACGTAGGTAAAAACATTAAAAAGTAAAATAAAATAAAAATCACGACGTTTCGGAGGCAACACAAGCTTCCGTCTTCAGGTGGTACCGTCACAGCCACGACAGCTGTATCAAGTAAATGAGAGATTGCAGAAGCTACCACTCCGTTTATATAATGGTTGGAGTAAATGAGAAATTGCTTCTGCAATCTCTCATTTACTTGATACAGCTGTCGTGGCTGTGACGGTACCACCTGAAGACGGAAGCTTGTGTTGCCTCCGAAACGTCGTGATTTTTTATTTTATTTTACTTTTTAATGTTTTTACCTACGTGACTTTACCGAAAAAACCTAAGCTCCATCTGAGTGAGTGTCTGTGTGTGTGTGTGGCAGATTTTACTTGGCAACTGCGCGTGTGCCCCACGGCGCCTCACGTGCCCTGTCTTGCCACGACATACACGTGAGGCAACGTTTGGCATGTTCGACGTGACGCTTATCGTTCAGACCCCCTGTACTTCCACTCCTGGATGGAAGCTTCGTCTCCACGCCATGTAGACCGTAGAGGTTGTTTGACGATAGTTTATCTTGCTGGTCGGTGCAGGTGAGTGAGGATCGGGGTTGCCTGGTTATCGATCACCACTGGTTAGCCAAGGCTGGGAATCGAACCCTCATAAAAAAACACAGTCTTGAGCTCAGTCGAGGCTTCACAGGATAAATAAATGGCACACATTACGTATTATTGCTTAATTACAATTACGACTGTCATTTTAGAATCCCACAAATGTAATATGTTTGTTTGATTTCAGGGTACAAATTGTTTGGCGATCGTTAGAATACACGTACATTGTTATAGACGGAAGTTTTATTCGTGAAATGTCAGTCTTAAAAATACAAAAATGCACTTCATATTTACTTCAGAAAATGCATTTAAAGAAATACCACTGTGAGCCACGGTACTGCGTAAAGACATTTGCGAGTTATGTCATACTGCACAGTGTCGTGTCGCCGGACACACTGAAATGGGATTATTTTGTATCAAGTTAAAGCCTGGAATGCTCGTCTGTGACAAGCCCTGCTTTTATTATAATGCATTGAATGCATGCACGGTCATATGCCCTATGCTCTTAGTTTACAGATGTGAATGGGTCCTGGTGGTTTCAGATTTTCCCTGACACTGGCAGTAATCGGAGATGTGCTCCGGTCACCTGAACTGCGCGCTGTTTAGATTTTTGGTTGTATTGTTTCTTCAGTGCTGCCAGACCTATACAAACAAGACAATATAGTTTTCCACATTTTCAAACTGACATATATATATTTTTAGCATAATCGCGTGGTGTACAATTGTGCCTAAAATGTGCAGGTAAATATATTGCAATACAGTAGTAGTATCTATAATATACAGGTAAATTTGCCGTATGACATTATATGTGGGATTGGCCACAACATTAAATTTAGCTCTTTTAATGCATTACTGTATAGCCTTTGATCAATGGCCAAGAATGCACAGATCCCATTAATGCTAAGTGGGGTTGAGCCTGGATAGTGCTTGGATGGGTGGCCATGTGCATGGCAGTTTCTTGTAAGTGGCTGTGGCGCTGTGCTTACTTGTGGGGCAAGCAGAGGGCAGTGCAGCGAAATTCATGACAGTATCGCTCTTTACTTCTCGGCTCTACCAACCAACGTTGACCGGTGCGGTGAAGTATGGGCAACTAATCCCAGCAGCTCACGTGGCACGGCGAGGCCCTCATCCCGCACTGGATAACAAAAATGACCAAACATATACAAGGTGTTATATTTCGCTTCGCTGTGATCATCAACGTCACCTTGTTATTTATCGTCAGGTCAATTCGCTGAGCCCACGTGTGCGTGGCAACTGATAACCAAGCTCTTTGTTAAAATTCACACATCCATTCGCGTTAGCACAATGTTTCTGTCATTGTCGTGTACATTACTACATGTTGTACGTACACGTGCCACCGAGCACACTCAGTGGCGTGTACAGTCATGCCATGGTGCCACATAGACACCAATGCTTGTGTATAACTCAGTAATGCAGCAAATTATATAATCACTGACCCTGAAATGCCAAGGGATAAGCATTTTTCTATAAATATATTGTTGCATGACAAGAGCATGAAAGAGGCTGACAGCTTTGGGAGGCATTCATCCAGCACTGCACTGGTTATGGCTGATATGATATATTATGATTATGGTTATGCATATCCACAAACACAATTATATCGTGTTTATAACCTTGTTCAGCCAGCAATGTGAATTGTAAAACTATTTCCTGGCATTCACTGGACACTCAAGTAGTCATCTGGCCGAACCTAAGACTAAATCACCCTGAATGTGCTTGATCACTGAGATCTCAGAAGATAAGCAAAGTTAAGGCTGGTTAGTACTTGGATGGGAGACTTGGGCTTTGATATGGCCAGAATCCATTGCATTACAGCAATGAATCGTTGAAGGTTTTTGAGCAGAGCGTTGAGTGGTATCTCCTCATGCGCATGATTTTTTTCTGGTACTCCGGTTTTTCCCTTATATCAAACTCGCCTTTTGCCCGTCCAAAGACGGGTGTATTGCAGTAAATCTGAAACTTGCAAGTGAAAAGCAGACGGCGACGTAATATTCATTGCATCAATTCGTGTGCAATTTGTAAGGCCGCGGTGACACAGACTTATTTCATTTTAAGGTTATAATCCCTTGTTCATCATGACGTTCTTTTTACTTCTATGTCTCAACAGCGTTACAGAGATCGCGTGACGTGAGGGTTCTGCCTTTGTAGTGAGGGTTGTGAGTTGACGCCGAGGAGGGGGGGAGGAGGCACCTCGCCCCCCCCCCCATGTGGAGTGACGTCACCCGCTAATGAATATTAATTGTGGGGGTGTCATTTGGAGGACGTCACCTGTTCATGAGTATTAATGAGGGGGGCTGGCCGACGTGGAGTGACGTCATGCGCGGGACACACAGACATTCTTGGCTCATAGTAGTAAATATCCCTTGAGCGAGGATCCTCGTGAAGAAAATCGTTTTGAGGTTTGGTGAGAGGCATTCTTGGCTAAATAAAGGGCATTCTTACATATTTGTGGCTGGTAGAATAAAACACTTCGTATTATTACTTGCCATTGCACTGCCTTTCATGAGCAAGCAACTTGAGGGGCTGTACCTTGAACTTGTTTGCTTTTTTGAATGGTATTTGGAGTAAAATATTCTTCAGATGTTTATGCCACTGCTCTGTCCCATTATGCTTGTGTCTTTACTGGCCAAATCATTTTTTTTCTCTATCAAGTACATACTGTATATCCCACAAGTAAAGACATTGTTACGGTCATTAAGAGCCTTACCCACAGACATACTAAAGTACAAAACATCATGTGGAGAATGGAATGTGCTGCTTTTGTATAGTGTACTGTTATGTATAATCATTGGCGTTTGTGTTCAATACAAAAAGTCATTCCAATTTCCTTTCAGTGGATGTTGTTATGGTGACTGTATACAGTATTTGTTATGCATGCAGGATTTCCCTGGAACTTTTAAAAACTGGCAAATAG